CCCTGCATTGCAACAACTGATTTCCTTTGGCAAGAATCAGTCCAGCTGACAGTCCGATCAAACCCTGGCGAAGAGCTCACTGACCAAGTTTTGCCACTCAGTGCAGTGGCCGTGTGGTCACAGTTTTGAGATGAACGAGGCCCGTTTGATTGGCCTTTCGCTTGCTCTTCGTCCGCGCACTCGTGCACTGACTCCATTGACAGATTTTCGTTGCGAATTCAGGCCCTTAGTTTGTTTTTGCCACCGACCATTTTCACCTGTCTCACCACCGTACAGAGGAAACGCTTTGGATGATGGGGAATCGGTCTTTGGCGTTTGGTCTTTTGGTGTGTTGGTGTTTTTTTGGTTTGGTTGGGTTGCCCTTTGGGGTTGCTTGTGTTCTATTCCCCATCATCATGTTGCGTTTCCTTTCCTTCAACGATGACCTGGGCACCCCGCCCACACGGCGTCCGTACTCGTGGAAAAAAATGCTCCGCGTACTAAAGTTGCACTACAAAGTCGCCAGTTCTCAGCTTCCAGCTCCCCAGATTGCTCCGCGTACTAAAGTTGCACTACAAAGTCGCCAGTTCTCAGCTTCCAGCTCGCCAGATACTACGCGTACTAAAGTTGCACTACAAAGTCGCCAGTGCTCATCTTCCAGCTTCCCAGATTGCTCCGCCTACTAAAGTTGTACTACAAAGTCGCCAGTTCTCAGCTTCCAGCTCCCCAGATTGCTCCGCGCACTAAAGTTTACTACAACGTCGCCAGTTCGCAGCTTCCAGCTCCACAGATTGCTCTGTGCACTGAAGTTGTACTACAAAGTCGCCAGTTCTCATCTTCCACTCCGCAGATACTCCGCGTACTAAAGTTGCACTGCAAAGTCGCCAGTTCTCATTTTCCAGCTCCACAGATGCTGTGCCTGCCACGAAATCTGCACATGGAGGTTCACAAAGTGCTGTGCCTGGCACGAAAAAATCTGCGCATGGAGGGTCACAAAGTGCTGTGCCTGCCACGATATCTGCACATGGAGGTTCACAAAGTGCTGCGCCTGCCACGAAATCTTCACAGGGAGGTTCACAAAGGGCTGTGCCTACCACGAAATCTGCACCTTCACAGCGCTGTGCCTGCCACGAAATCTGCGCATGGAGGTTCACACAGTGCTGCGCCTGCCAAAATCTGCACATGGAGGTTCACACAGTGCTGTGCCTGCCACGAATCGGCGCATGGAGGTTCACAAAGTGCTGTGCCTGCCACAAAATCTGACATGGAGGTTCACATAGTGCTGTTTTTTTTCGACGAGTGCGGACGCCATGTGGGCGGTGTGCCCAGGTCATCATAGAAGAAAAGGAAACATTGCAAATTGATGGGGGAACAGCCAAAACCACCAGCAGCAAAACACCCAAACAAAAACCCAAAAACCAAACCCAAAACAAACACAAAGACCAACCAAAGTGGGCAGTCAGTGTTTCCTCTGAACTGAAAGTGAAACAGGTGAGAAAGACAAGCTGCAAATGTCAAAGGGCCTGAATTATTCAACCTTTATGTGCAGATTTTTTGTGGCAGGCGCAGCACACTTTGTGAACCTCCGTGCGCAGATCTCGTGGCTTTGTGAACCTCCATGTGCAGATTTCGTGGCAGGCGCAGCGCTTTGTGAGCCTCCATGCGCAGATTTTTCGTGGCAGGCGCAGCACTTTGTGAACCTCCATGTGCAGATTTCGTGGCAGGCGCAGCACTGTGTGAACCTCCATGTGCAGATTTGGTGGCAGGCCAGATTTCGTGGCAGGCACAGCATCTGTGGAGCTGGAAACTCTAGTACGCGAGCATTTTTGCGTGCTGTGTGCTGCGCTTGCTGCTTGCCCAGGGGTCGGATGTACGCCCTGGTGTCCGCTGGGCACCGGCGCTCGGCCGGAAGCATTTGCGTGCTGTGCTTGCCAAGGGGTCGGATGCACGCCCTGGCGTTGGCTGGGCACCGGCTCGGCCGGTAGCATTTGTGTGCTGTGTGCGGCGCTTGCTGCTTGCCAAGGGGTCGGACGCCCTGGCGTCGGCTGGTGCCCTGTGAGTGATGTTGTGTGCGAGATGTTGTTGTGAGAGATGTTGTGTGAGTGATGTTGCGCGCGAGATGTTGTGTGAGTGATGTTGTGTGCGAGATTTTGTGTGTGGGATGTTGTGTGAGTGATGTTGTGTGTGAGATGTTGTTGTGAGAGATGTTGTGTGAGTGATGTTGTGTGCGAGATGTTGTGTGTGGGATGTTGTGTGAGTGATGTTGTGTGTGAGATGTTGTTGTGAGTTGGAGATGTTGTGTGAGTGATGTTGTGTGCGAGATGTTGTGTGTGTGGGATGTTGTGTGAGTGATGTTGTGTGTGAGATGTTGTTGTGAGAGATGTTGTGTGAGTGATGGTGTGTGAGTGATGTTGTGTGCGAGATGTTGTGTGTGGGATGTTGTGTGAGTGATGTTGTGTGTGAGATGTTGTTGTGAGAGATGTTGTGTGAGTGATGTTGTGTGCGAGATGTTGTGTGTGGGATGTTGTGTGAGTGATGTTGTGTGTGAGATGTTGTTGTGAGAGATGTTGTGTGAGAGATGTTGTGTGAGAGTTGTTGTGTGAGTGATGTTGTGTGAGTGATGTTGTGTGTGAGATGTTGTGTGTGGGATGTTGTGTGAGAGATGTTGTGTGAGAGATGTTGTTGTGAGTGATGTTGTGTGAGAGATGATTTGTGTGAGAGAGGAGGAGGAAGGAGGAAGGCGGAGGAGGAGGAGGAGGAGGAGCGAGGAGGTGCAGCAAAAAAACAAGAACCCCACACGGCAATGTGGGGAAAAATATTCTCCTGTAAGCCGGGGCAAGGGCCTTCGGGTCGCTGTACGTTTGGGTGCGGCACCCCACTGCCTTGTTGAATTGGACATGTCTTGGTGTTTGCGGCTATTGTCTGGTGCTGATCAGACTTTCGCACAAAAGACCCAAGGAGATTCAACCCGCGCCTGCGCACGTGCCTATCTCTGACAACGGTGCGATATACAAAAACAATCAGTCCTTGTCCTGGTGGTGGGCACACGCCCTGCTGGCCATGTAGATGGTGTACAGGGTTTTGCGGCGTAGCTTCACCTTTGTTTCACTGTAGTTTCGGGGCACTGCATGACTCACCCAACGATAGTCGCTCGTGACTACCTGGCTAAATGAACACAGGGACTCCGTGATTGATCACTACCTTGCTACGATGTGCTACCTTTGCTAAGCTGTTTCGGAGCGCTTCGCCTCGCTTCCCTCCCTCCTGTGGAGCCTCTTCAGACATTACACCCTCGTAGTCCTTGCCAATAGCCAACCATGCATCATAGACAGTGCAACATACCACTCTTTGCAGGCCACACTGCTGTCAAAGTATTGCCCTTTCGGTCGGCGCGCTAGGGCTTTCTACATTGCAGTGGTTTTCCATCGGCCGTCTCCTGGAGAAACACCATGCTGGACTGCTGCTTCCAAACGCAACTGAGAACAGTTGGCCTGTCTATATTGCCGCTGCCCCCCCAAGTGAACTACTTGCGCAAACATAGAAGACATGGCCTGAGTACACGGGCCATCCGACCTAGTGTACGAGCTAGCACTTGACCGATACCCAAGTCGGTAAAACTTTCGCACCTTCGCAATTGCTCACTTTGAGGCATTTTGCCATAGTCTCCTTTGGCCTCGCTGTTTTTGGTTGGTTTTTTGCAGGTTTTTTGTTGGTGTTTTGGGGGTTTTGGTTGGTTTGTGTTTTTGTTTGCCCCTTCCTGGCCAGAGACTCATTCACAAGTAGCACAAGCTGACCTGTGCATTCTCTGCACACATGGCGGCTCCACCCGTGCAAAAAAAAAACAGGAGCTTGGCGATGTGACAGCCAAGAAGTGGGTGATGTGAGGACGATGGCTCACATGCCGGAAGAGGCAAAAGACCAACTTTGGTGGGTACGCACCAAGGACCGGTTTGTGATCAACTCACCAAATCAATGAGCTGGGATGACGTGCGCGAAACACCTGACTCGACGAGACCTTCATGCGGTTCGCTTACCGTGGATCAAGCCCAGGCCATAGGGGCCCTTTGAGTCAGCTGGAAAAGGCTGTGCTAGCTTTGTGTTTTCGGCGGTGCTTTTGCATTGCCGGCTTCTCAAACAGTCTCAACAACACATGTTGCTTCTGAACGATCAGAAACATTCTCCGGCTCCGACCTTCTTGATTGGTGCGCCACGCACCTTTGTGCATGTTAGTTGTCATTTGGCTCACCATCCCAACAGGCAATGCGACCACAATGGTCGCCAGTGAACTTTTTTGAACTTTTGTGAGCTATGGCACTTGAATGCACAGTTCCACCTGACTTCCTGGTCGGCTGGTTGTGGGATGTGTCGCCAACAAAGCGCAATGTACCACCTCTCGGTGGCCGTGCATCGTTTGAAGGCATCACAACTTGAAGACATCGCAGCTGAAGACACGGCCAAAGAAAAATGGTCGCACAATTGTTTCGGACACCCATTGGATAGGCTGCAAATCAAATCTGTTCATGGAGCATGCAGGGTGTTTTTGGGTTTCGAAAACTGTGTATGGCCGCGAATTTCTGAATTGGCGTCCTTATATGAAGATTTCGCGCATCTCGCAAGCAATGATGTTTTTCCTTTCAATCACGATGTTCTGAGTTGTCACACGCCTAGCTTTAATCCACCTTTTGGCTCAGACGCCACGTTGCTGCGAGGGCGGGGTCTGACTCGTTGCTGTCTTCGCGGTGTTTTTCTTCGCGCCAACCGTAGAGTCCATGAAAGATCGATCAGGCGCCCACACGATGGTTCAAGCCCCGCCCACTTTCACTTTCATCTGGAGAGGGATGATGTTTGGCATCAGCGGCTCGAAAGACGAGAACCTTGTGATTGCAAGAACCTTGTGATGTGGAAGACAAATCATCTATAAACATGTTGATGTCTTTGACATGTTTCTTTGAGGTGTTTTCATGTGGTTTCTCGTTTCTTGTTGACTTCGCCGCTCCACGGGTCCTTTGCAACGCCAGGTCATGTTGGTCTCCCCTGTGGAAGCCTCAGGGCGTTTTTTGAGCGCGGGGAAAAACGGGTGTGGGGTCAACAGCTCAAAGTTAGGGCGATCTTATTTTTGCGAACTAATGGAGTTTTATGGTTTTTTAAATCAGGGCATCACCAACATCATAACATGTTTGACTTCAATAGGAGTGTGTTGACGCCCGAGTCAACTGCCTTGACACGGCACTTTTGGAAGTTCCAGGTTTGATAAACCTAGGGATGTACGCTCCAAGTGAACACGGGAACATTCATTGTCCTGCCATGAATGCTTCTCCAAATGCATCCAGAGAACTGCCGCCCAACACGCCCGGCTCAGCCTCCGTCTTTCGTGCCGGCGGTTTCCGTCACGGCCGCCGTTGCGGGCGTTGCAACTCGGGAGGATCTAATGATGCAGCTGGGCCCACCTCCACAAGAAGTCATTGCTGGGGATCCTGGAATCGGGCTGGTCCCGGTTTCTGGTAACCCTGCGCCTTTGACCAGAAATGGCGCGGAGAGAGAAATGATGTCAACTTTTTTGGGTGTGACGGGGAATAATTTGATGTATATAGTATGATATCATATCATATCAACCCTGCGTACCAACCCAGCGTACCGCACACCCGCCCGACGTACCAACCCAGCGTACCACCCCCCCCCGCACCCCACGAGTCAACACTAACCAAAAATTGCGTTACGCCTAGTTTAAATTAATATAGATGATATGTATTATTATTCTGTTTGGAAGTTAGGGTACTTCACAACTGGGATGTGGTTGAAAGTTCTATTTGGTCCGTGGTAGCTGGTGTCCACAGCTTATTCCATATTGCCAGATCGATGATTTCGGGTGCGATCGTAAAGCTTTGTTCCTGCCATTGGATTCGAACAGATAGACGAGGATTGGATCAAAGCCCAATCACTTTTGTTGTCTGACAAGTCAAGACCTGTGACACGTAGCCGCCCCTCAAACCTGGGCCATTCTGTACCGTCCGACGCAGGTCATTAGGGCCGCAGCAGGTTTCGATTTTTTTTGACTCCTCTCCTCCAAGATCCCTCCTTTTCGGATCTGCGCTTCGGGCGAGGACCAACAATGGCTGTGGAAATTGCTGATGTTCGGCTTCACGGTCGTTCTTCTGCTTCAACTCTTTGCCATGGACGTGGCCCGAACCTTAAACCGCCTTTCTGGAGGGCATGGGGTGTGAGGTTTTGGCCCACTTTTTGCTTGCGGGACCGTAGAATCTCTAAAGCTCTCAACTCTGATGGGAACGACTCCACTAGATTTGACCTGGACCCAAAATTCGTTGACGCTTTACACGACTTTTGGTTGGCGGCGTTTTCACAAAGCTCAATTTCCTCAAGGACCTGCCCGTGTGAAAAATGGACGTACAAATCCGCCATCCTCAACAAAGTCTAACGTTTGAGAGAAGCCACAACTCACTGGAAAAACGTCCTACGACCTGAGTGGGGGTTTCTTTGATTGGTTTTTGGATGCCAGACTGATGAATTCACTTTGAACAATCACTTCAAAAGATCACAGCCTTGATTTGATGCTCGTCGTGACAAGAAGATTTATCAACTTTTGCTGGTACTGGGACCCACCCAGAAGTTTGAAACCTTATCCCATGATGTATGGACTGCACTGCACCATGTCTACATTAAAGTCTATACATGTCTATACTTACTCTGCACATGTGACATGTCCATTGTTTTCAGACAAAGCAGACAAAGCAGACGTGAAAAAGCAAAAGGAGTGCCCTGGGAGTCCACTCGACCATTTCCTTTGCTGAAGAGTTGCCCCAAGAGAGAGTCGAACTGGGCTTCCGGGTTTTTTTGGGGTGAAATCATCGCTTTCAATCAGCGCCACTCGTCCCATCCCCAGCATTCTCAGCATCTGACTCTCCTGCCCCACCTCTTTTTTCCCCCGGCAGCTCGTTCTCGACCGAGGCAGGGGCCATGCTGACAGCCTTGCTCTTGGCCTTCGGCGCCTCGCTGGGTGGGACGTGGCGGTCTTTCGCTGAGTTTGGGCCCGGAGGGAGGGACATGGGGTTAGGAGCGCCCCAGCTGGCAAAGGAGCGGCAGGGTGGAGCGCATTCTTTTGCTCAATGGTGCAGGTTGAAGAGTCTTATTCCTGGCAATGACTCGATGACGGTGTCACCGGCTGGGTCGGTGAGGATTCCTGCGGCGGCGTTGGTCTGTTGGTAGTCCAAGGAAGGTCAGGAAGAAACGTGACATGTTTCCAGCTCCAGGTGGCTATGGAATAGGAGACCCCAAGTTCGATGCCCTGGAAGAGGAACAGCAGACTAACCATGAAAGCACAGCGGAAAACGAGTGTTTCATCGTAGATCTTCGGCTGCCAACTCTGTCGCTCTCGCCATGTTCGTCGAGCTTTTCCCCGCGCGAAGTGAGACATTCGACCGTTAAACCCCCAGATGCAGCTCGTTCGACCGTTAAACCCCCTTTTGTCCGTGTTCCGAAAGCCCCACCTCTGCGATCTGTGGGCTGGTGGAATCAATCTGTTCCGGGTCCTACGTGGCCAACTCACAGTCTCCTCACCTGGATCCACTGACTTCCCACTCCATCGAACTCTTCAAAACACCCCAAAATGAGGCCTTTCTTCGAAATCGATCGATCCGCTTCGGCCGGCTCGTTCCGACTTCCGAAACGACGCAAGCTCGGGTGCCGGACGGCCCAGGTTGGGTGATGCTGAAAGATGGCATGTGTGAAATGCCGAAGTATGCCTTGATCTATGCCGTGCCTTCGGGGGGGGAGGGGGCTTCCGGGGCCGGCCTGAACTGGGAGATGATGCTGGTTTGGTCGAAACTGGCCGTGACTCAGAGTGAGGACGGTCGGACATGACTGGTCGCCACTCGGTCAGTCAGGACATCTGGAAAGGAATTCGGAATTGGCCTTTCTTGATCATCAAGATCCACAGAAAAGATTGTAGCTGTGGTGATAGAACCATTCCAACGAAGAGTAGCTTCCCCCTAGAAATCAGAGATCTTTCATGAACAACCTGAAGAGCTGCACGGCTGAAGAGACTTAGGTGGACATAGGAATCTCATAGCAGGGCGCTTTGAGTATTCTGGCGGAGTGGAGATGTAATATATCTTCCACACTTGGTGTTGCACCTGCATGTTCTCTTCACATTGTGATTCTACTACTGGTGATTGAGTAGTCCTCGATCGAGTATAGGACAACTGTGACAGCTTTAAATGGCTTTTGGTGATTCTCGTGGGCGCCCGTTTCAGTGCTTTAAGTCTCCGATCCAGACTGGGAGTGGCTTTCATCTCTCTGACTGGGAGACCACAAAGAAGCCTCGTAGGGTCCAATGTTGCAGAGAAGGATTACAGTGGTTTCAGAGTATAGATGGCACTGGCACCCCTACATGTCCTTTAGACGGGGTCCATATAAACCACCGACATTGGGGTCTGTGCCATCTACTCTTCAATCCACTATAAACATCTTCCGAATGAGCTTGTGGTGGAATCTTCGTTGCTGGAGCTTGTTTGATCCATGTGGATGGGCGCTCGATGGGCAAGCGCTAGCGAGGGTTTTCTCCAATAATGGATTCTTGTGAAGATGGCAGTATTCCTGAAGTCACTCATCTCCAAATGAAAGCACCACAAGCCTTTCAGCATCTCTGATGAAGGATTTTTTTCTTTTTTCAAAAATGGGTCATTTCTTCAGCCACAGGCGCAACAATTTCTCCTGCATCGCCCCAGGTGCTTTGTGGATTGAACTTCTTTTTCCAAATCCTTCCTCTCTTTAGCGAGCTCAACGGACGCGTCACAAGGCCAGAAGACGAATGAAGGGCTGGAGCCGCGGGGGGGTGCAGAACTGCCTTGCTTGGGCTGGGCGGTGCCTCTCGGGCTTCGCTCCGCCGCCCCGAAGCCTAGGCGGATCGAAGTGGCCTCGCCCCCAACCTTCGTGGGGGAACCTGGCAGCTGGCGCCGTGAGGGGTGGAAGGTGTGCCAGGTGTGCCAGGTAACTAGTGACCCGTCCTGATCCATCAAAGGACCAAACCAACAAAAAGAACCCATGCAGAGTGTTCAACTGACTGGCTTGGTTATATAAACCTGTGTTTCTCTTTAGTTGTCTCTGGAAGGTCCGGAGTCCAAAAACGATCTTTGGGACCACCGAGCCAGTCGGCTCTCACCTTCGACCCCCGGCTCAGAGCCTTCTGAAAAATGGATCGAGTCCAGACTCGCAGCGTTGCAAGAGCTGAGAGATCGCCTTGACTTGAAACACATCAATGAGTTTTAGCTTTAAACACATGTAACAAATCAATCAACACATGTTTTTTAAATAGGGGAATTCTGTTCTTTTTCCTCACATTTTCCCTTGTGTAAGATTCTACCCATGAGACTCTGCCTTATCTGGACCCCTGAGACGCAGCACCCCGCGCAGCACCCCTGATGACTGCGCCACACCCTGAGGTGAATGGGACGCAAATGCCTCGTGCTCAGCGAGCGCACGTCGATGCGCACGTCGATGCGCAGCGAGTAGTGCTGGAAAGAAAGCCTCCGTCCCAAAGGGACCATCAAAGTGATTTGGAGTCTTGTTACCCTTCACCAACCCTCCAAAAACCCATCAACAACCCACTCGGAAAGTCTTTGTGGCCCTCTGCCCTGTCTGGGCTGTTCTTGCCAGGCCCGAATCATCATGGTTCAGAACAGTTTTGGATGTTTTTGGGGTCGATTAGGATCGACCGTGCAAAACTTTGCAAAGCATATTGCCTGTTAGATATGTAAGGATGATTGCTATTGCTGGGTCGTCAGAAGCTTTGCATAAATTGTAGCACATGTAGCACATAAAGTCCTTGTTTCAGACGATGAGGAGGTGGCGCATTCCGACTTGAACATTAAGAACATGAATGTTGCTCTAAGATATATGACTGATGCTCATGATGCTTTCAATATACCAAGCATCACCAGCATTTTGAAAATAACTACATATACATCATAAACTGCTGCCATGCGCAAAAAAACTGGATGCTCACAAGGGTGGTGCGTGTCCAAGCCCCGACAAGCCAGAGGGACTTGATCACGACTCATTCAATGAGTCCTCCGCCACAGAAAGACTTGAGTCAATCTTTAGGATGGAACAAAAAGGTCTCGGTTTGGCTCTTTTTGGTTCTGCATTTGCTAAACATTCTGCTTCTTTTTGGCTATCCTCCTTCAGCCCCTTCATGCGCCAGTTCTGGGTCCAATCGATTTGTTGACCATTCCAGAAACGCGCGAGTTCGATGTGCTGGCTGTGCTGGGTGACTGAGGACCACGTACACCTTGGCGACCCAAACGACCAGCTTCTTCGATTTTTCGCAGGGCCTCGCGTATAACGCCCGGGTCCTGCAGGGGGCCGGCAGGGTGAGGTTTGCTGTGAATGGGTCACGCCTAAGCTTGAGTGTATGTGTCTAGATGGTTTGAAGGGTGTATAGTATGGAACGTTGGCGTTTTGCCGAACTCGTGTGTTGCCTGTTTTCGGGCTTGGGCGATGGGACTAAACAAACTTAAAATAGGAGAGTGACCACCCTGAAGTAATTGATTCATCATATCAAGTCGAAGAAGTGCTAAGCATTTTTGTTCGGCATGTGCCAACCGTTGACGTGCTCCAAAGTTGCATGGCTAAGGGTCTTGAGTCCATGGATCAATCATTCTACAGGGCAAATCTAATTGAAACTTATCACACAGAAGCCATGTGGAACCGCATGACCTCGTGGAGAAGCACTGTGGCCTGACTACGTGCTTCTGAACTATTGACGGGGCTTTTTACACCAGGCTTGGGCTGGACCTAAACCTCAGAATTGCACAGGTCTTGAAACATGATGAAGTGCCCTCCCCCAAAGCCCTGCACTTATCAGTTCCCCAAAGCCCTGCACTTATGAGTTTTCAGCTGAACTCTCGCAATAGACCTGGCCGGCTTCTTTGGCCACCCAAAGGCTGCAAAAGAAGAACCAGCTTAGCTTGGTTCACTGCACAGGGCTGAATGGCTCAAAGCTGAGATATCTGTCACCACCAGCTTAACTGCAACAAGACTCATCTCCTCACAGTGAGCCTCACAGTAGGAGCTGGAACACTTGATGATGGGGCGGAAAGGATCTGGCCAGAAAGACAGGCATTTTCGGAACCCCCCCCCAACCCCGTGAGCTTCAGGTTACCACGAAGGCGGACTGAACGATTTAACCTGAAAGACCCGGACTCGAAGAATCTGAGACCACGCCACATCCTTCAGATGATGTGAGGGGAGAGATGTCGCTTCACTCAGAAAGTTCGTTCAAGTTCACTCACCCAGTTTCTCAGCTGCTTTTCAACCCAGAGCCCACATCTTCGGGCATCCTGTCGACCCCACCACCAGATCCCCCAAGCTCCTTTCTGCAGCCCCTTGGAACCCCCGCGCGACGCACGGGTTCCTGCTGTTTCGCCCACAAACCCGTCCCATGCCGATCTGCGCGGCGCCAGCGCGGGGCGCACAGTGGCGCGGGGCGCTCCACACGCACGGAGATCAGCGAGATGTTCGAATTCGATTTCGAGGAGTTGGAGGCTGGAGAGGTGCAGCAAGCGCAGCAGGCGAGTGCAAAGGCGAAGGCAGGGACCCGTGCCAGTGGGATTTCGTGCGGGGAGAAGTGGAATTTCGTCGTGCAGATCTTGGTGGCGAGGTCATAGACCTGAAAGAAGGACTGGTGTTGTGATTTGCTTGGGTGATCCTGGCATGCCTCACACTCTTTGAAATCATGGCAGACTCCTCTTTTGCGGATTTTTTTGATCCCCTCTTCTTCCACATCGACAACATGTTGGAGCTACTTTTTCTTTGTGGCTTAAGCAGTTCCAAAAAGCTCTGGCACGATCTTGAAGCGCTTCTCTGTCTCTTGAGCACTAAACAAACACATAAACGGAGAAACAGCATTGGCTCCAAAACTGTGTGCAGTTGAACTGCTGACTCATTGCCAGGTGGTTTCGCCCAAACCCTCTGCCAAAGAAGAAGAAGAAGGCCAGGAGTGACATGAAAAGCCCGCAACTGGACTCTGGCCTTGAACCTTTCATGGTGAGAGTGTTTCTTTTTTTTTTTCAACCTTGATGATGCAGGCGATGTCAAATTTATGAGTTGGTTTTAGCAGCATCATCAGCAATGGAGATATAGTGATCACCTGATTAACGATATTCTTGTGAAAGGCATGGCTTTGGTTCCTTCCTTCTCAGGTTGTCAACATTGACAGCACCTTTTTTCCGTCCGAGCATTCCGAAGCCACTTCCAGAAATGACTAATCTCAAAAGTAGGATGGGTTTATCTTGAAGTTGAGCAACAACAGCTTCCCAACTGCTGTTGCTGCGGGCTGACCGAAAAACCAGCTTCAGTAAGCCTTGAAAAGCTCCGAACTTGGGCTTTGGAAGATGTTAACTCACTCAGGGGGGTTCAGGACAAATGCATCCCAGCAGGTACTCCCCGCCGAAGTGTCGAGTGCGATGACGGGTGCGTTGCCGCTTGATCGATTCTCGGCGAGGAAGGCGCTACGTGTCTGGCCCGCCGCCAGGTTCGGTCGGAAGTGGGGGCAGCTTCGATGTCTGCAGCCACAGTGACAGTGTTGAGATGTTATTTTTTTTGGGGGGCCAAATAAGGGATCATCCCAACGAAATAAGGAATCGTCTCACATATATCACTCACAGATCGAGCAGTTTGTGCTCCTTGAGGCCTAGGGGGGTGGGGTTTAGATGCGCCAGCTGGTTCCAGAAGGTCTCTACAAGACCAAATCCTTGTACACTTTCCGAGAACAAGTGAATTTCACCTACAGAACCTCATCTCCAATCCCAAGTCTGGCCCCCCCCTTGCAGCAAAATCATGGAGATCCAGCTGTGAACTTCTTCCATCTCCGGGCACCAAACACGATCAACCATCCGCTCCCCGTGCCTCGGTTTGCGGATGGAACTTCCTCGCTCCCCGTGCCTCCCGGGGCCTCTCGGCTCCGCGTGCTCCGCCAGCTCCGTCTCGCACGCGCCGCGTGACGGGTTTCGGGTGAGGAGTGGGGTGGGATGGTTGCGACCTTCAAAGGTCTGGTCATAGAGGACTTCCATTTTTTCATATCTGGTCAGAGTACTTGCCTGAGTCATGGAAAGTGGAACCAGGTTTGAAGACTTGGTGGAAGTGGTAGCGAAAAGGTTTCTGGGTTGAATTTCTGAGAAGGGGGCTCACCTTGTTCTCTTTTTTGCACCTCTTGCTTTCCCAGCGTTACGAGGCGAGCTTCTTCTCATCACCCTGATGCGGAACCGCTTCGAATTTGCTCGTTGATCTGCTTTCTTCCGCCGGAAGGCTTGCCAAGAGAGGTAGCCAGTGACCTTAATTATAGGACCCGTCACCTGGGGTGCCCAACTGGGATAGTCTATACGGTTCTGACCCACCTCTGTTGGTGTGAACTCCAACCCTCCACACCCTGCTGTTCGCACCGCCTGGGCCCCTGGGGCCAGCTCTGGGCCCCTGGGCCAGGAGAGAAGTGGCCGCCGCCCAAGGCCGAAGCCAAAGGTGACCAAGGCGGCCGGGTATTTCCGAGAGGCGTTCCCGTTGATGGCTTCGTGGTTCACAGAAAATCCTTCAAAACATCAACAGCTCACAGCTCTTCCCAGAACTTCAAACCATGAAGGGGGAAAACAAGAGTTCTTGGGCATGTGTTGCATCCCTCTTCCGATTTCTTTCTGGTTCTCCGATCCGATCCGCCGAGCCCGAACCCACCCTGAGGTGCGAGGTGCAAAGATGCCTCGACGCAGCGAGGCGAGCTGCTCCCACGCTGCCGTCCTGAGCTGACCCCCCGGTCCCAAAACCGGGTGGGCTGGCAAGGGCCAAACGGGGGTCTTTCACCAGGGCCAAGGGGAATTCGCGTCGTGTAGCTGTTATTTTTTTGGAGACTTTTTTGGAGGTCCTTTCTTTTTTTATGCCTTTTTCTTTTTGGTTTTTGTCGAAGATGTCTGTAATATTTGTTTCCTTCACCCGTGCCGGTGTTCCTTTGCAGTCTTTTGCGCAGTCTTTTGCGGTCAACGACGTTTACGTCGACAGACCGGAGAGACCAGGACGACCGTGCTGGTGACGGGACGCAGAGGACCTAAGAGATCATCGTTTTGGGGTCCACAACTGAACAATCTTAGGCACCTCCAACTTGGATACCCGCGATCCTTTCGCGGCAGCGCTGTGCCTCCAACGCCCGAAAAAATGGGTCGCCAAGGCACACCCACAGCGCCTCGATTTCAGCCACACTTGAGAAGCTTCGGACCCCATGAGTCAACCGACAGCTTCCAACGAGACGAAGGATGTGATCACCTCATTGTCCGTCCGCCGCGCAGGTCCTAGCCCGCCGAGTGCGAGCAGCAATCCCAGTGCCACTCCCAGCGCTGAAGCTCCGAGCATGTCTCGTCACGAGCAGAGGAGCGCGACCGCACGAGCTGTGGAAAAGGGATGTCCCGAAATGAGGAAACCATCATTCTTGCTACTGTCACGAGAGTCACCAATGAACTTGTAGTCTGACCAACATAAGCTCCTGATGCTTGAGATGCTTCCAGTCATTCTTAGCACTTCCAACGTCCCAAATCCTCGTATCCCGTCCGAGCTCTCGCCACGAGCCCCCGCCCCTTCCTTCCTCCTGTTGGCATCGCACTTCTCATCAGACATGACATCGCAAGTTCTAATCCTTCGTAACAGCTAGTCGTGGATGGCGACAGAGGCGAAACGGGAGCGAATAGGTGGCTCCTTCTGACACAGGCGATGGAGGACGGAGGCTCAAATTCACATGCGTACGGATCACGCCACTATGTCCGCTTTCTGCCTAGCTTGGCTGTTTTGTCTTTTAAATGGATGAAAAGCCAGACATGTTGCAGTGGGCCCTCCACCCGGTGTTCCAGGATCCGGCACTGGCTCCGGACCGCCGAGCAGTTGGTGCGGATGTTGCAGGAGATGCAGAGCAAGGACCTTGGAGAGTGGGGTAGATCATGAGTGGTGTGGAGATGTTATTTTTTTGGAAAAAGGGGGTTGCTTCGAGGACCACTACTTTGAGTGGTGGTAGGTTTATGTTGGGTGTGTCCCACTACTTGTCACGGTGGAGAAAAGATGAACACTGTCATTGAGGAAGGTCTGTAACTGAACCCCATCATCATCCACTGTTACAGGGAATGGGAATTACCCAAGGTTGAAGCAATGTTTAGGCTTTTGGCTTTACTAAAGATCTTTACAAAACCAGGTCATACCAGTCATACCAGGTCAGACATGTTTTTCTCGATGGTCTTGGAAGGATACGGATCCAGAACTGATATAAGTGGAGCGAATGGGGATCCGTTCCACGAATGTCTTCCTTTTTCTGCTCAAGCATAGATTTTGCAACTGGTTGACCTTGAAATGAAAGCCGTCTTCAACCAAAGGCTTACACGGTTGAAATAGAGATCTCCAACCAAGCAAAAGGTGTCTTCAAGCAAAGGAACAAGTCACTTTGAAGGGATTATGGGACCACTTGGACTCTTTGTGATTTGTGAGGTCCAAGTCTGATTGACTGTGGAAGCAGGAGCCAAAATAGACACCGCTCACGGCCTCCTTCAGGAAGAGCAATTTCTGCTTCGCCAGAACAGGGTGGCCTCAATTTACTTGAAGGTAGATGTCCACCAGGGGCTTTGTTCCACTGTTCCATCTCTCTTACACGTTTTGCTTATACCCAAAAATGAGTGACGGGTGGTGACAGGGGCTGGGGCCATGCTCAGGTTCTACCAACTCAACAAACCAACTTCGTTGGAGGAATCGACCTGGTTTGTTGGATCCACTGAAGTGGCTGGGAGCTGCAGCTTCAGCTTCGTTCTGCCAGCAGTTCTGCAGGAATTTTTGGAGGGCAAGGGCTGGATGGAAGGCATGTGCCTCGGCTATTCGGGTGGAACATCGCATTGGCAGTGGAGGATATGGCGAGGGAGGGAGGGATGAGGCTGGGTGAGGTTGTTGTCGTTGGTGCTCAAAACACCTGGAGACGTTCCTTTTCGATGCTTTTGCCAGAAACATTTGATTATTTCGTTTCACACCATGATTTGTCCATGCTTTTGCCAGAAAAGGATCAAATTTGATCATTTCCATTTCACATGGTTGGAGGTGATTGCTCTGGTCGAGAATGGGATTCCAAGCGGAAGGTCAGAGACAGAATGATGCTTCTAACTGCAGGGCCTCTCCTCAAACTCCTGGACCAGAAGAGGAATGTGACAAGGACCTGCAGGGCCTCGCCTCCCCATGGTTATACCACACCTCACCTTCAGAGGGTTATACCTCTCCAAGCGGATTGGTGGTGTTGCCGCATGTGGTCATTTCGACCAAGCATGAGGATCCATGGAAGGAGACATCCATCAGAAACCTGGCTGTACCGTGTATACCGTGTATAATCCCAACATGGACAACAAGGACCCTGGGGTGTGCTTGAACTAGGATTCTGTAAACGTTTATGTCTTTTCATCTTGAATCTCTTTCAAGGCAGTCTATCGTAATTACAGGTAATGTACCAGCACCTTCAAAGGGGGTCACCAATGCAAGCCCCTACACTACCTAGCGATCTCCATGGGACACCCCGTTCAAGGTCCAGGTATGTAGCGTTCTTTCTTTTCGCAGACTCCTTGTTTAACACCAAGAGGTGAAGTACGGGGACCAATGACCAAGCGGATGAGCCAGCGGCTGCGCACTTTCCATGAGTTGGAGAAGGTCAAGGTCACCCAAGGTTTCGTGCTACAACAGGGCGTGATCCAGGAGAAGAGCGACAGCGACAGTGGCGGAGGAGATGCAGATGGGTGTCGGATGGACTGCTGGGTGCCACGCATCGGCATCTTCGCCTTTGACCGTATCGAGCTCGCTTCGGAGTTGCGCTTTCGTCGACTGCCCTGGAGAAATCCCATGAGCAATGGGTGGGATCAAGAACGAGGTGGAGATGGCTTCCCCGATCTACCAGCCACTCTTCGATCACGACCAGCTCCAGCTCCAACGCGGAAAAATCAGCGTCACCGGGCAGGCGTCCCGAGGATTCTGCCCGACGGAAGGATTCTGCCTGACTTGGGCCACCTGGCACAAGGACCACTGGAGCACAGGAGCGGAAAGGCCCTTGTGAGTGGCAGAAGGCATGGAAAAGGTTGGTACAGATTGGCGAACCCAGACACGACTAATGGGACTGCCATATATGTTGGTTTTGGGGGTCAATGTAGGCACGTATGGCTCCCATGGAGTGTCTGGGGAATGGAAACGTCGACTCCATCAGCTTCCATCAGAACCACTGCCACGGCATACAGTACGGGTGCGGCGTTCCCGCGCAGGAACTGGAGGCTACAAGCAGCTGGGGGATGGGAAGGAGAAGAGCCTTTTCGAGGAGGATGCCAGGGCTGCTCCAAGAGCATAGCCTCCCGTCCTTGTGGCGAAAAGGCGCCCAGGAATCCATTGCAACAGGAAGTTCCTCGGAAGTCTAAAGAGAACATGTACCAGACCGTCAGATGCGGAGATCGTCAGATCCAACTAATACCATTCTTTCCAAAAACCGAAGTCTCTGGGACTTCTATCCGGGATGTCTCTTGGACTTGTCGTCGCAGGCGGCGGGCGACTTGTGCAGATTTCTCATCTGACAAAAGTCAGCTTGAGAGGTCCCGGTCAATTCTGCCGTCTTCCTCTTCCGCAAGCTTGACACGGAAAGAATGGTTGAAGAAAAGACATCCCACAGTCCAATGTCGGACTTGACTTTTTTATTTAGAAAGTGGATCGACTCATTTCCCCAACGAGGTTTTTGGTCCAAACTCTTTTGGTTCTTTGACCGTTCAACGTCACTCGAACTCTTCGCAGCGGTCCCCACATGAGCCGTTAGCAGCGCAGGCTGCAGTGTGTGGAGCGTGCTTTTCACCCCGGGGACCGCGTGCTACAGTGGCGTGTCCTGAGGCAGCGTCTGATTGAGGGGACGCCCAAAGACCATGCCGGGAGGAAGTATGGCTTGGACGAGTTCGCAGGCGAGCCTGGAGACCCTGCGCGGGGCGGGGCGCGGCCGGGGAAACCGGGCTGGGCTTGTGGGATAAAACCAGTGAGTGAGTGAATACTTGTGCTCCTCCTGGACATCATCATTTTCCAAAGGATTTCTTTGATGTTCGAAAAGAAAGGTCACTCAAGAAGTCTTTGCTATACCAGTCCGGTCTGTAGTTGTATTTGTTGGTCTGTTTCTTGTTCGAAGGGTTGAGAATCGAATGATCCACCGAGTTTCAGAAGCCTGACAGGCTGCACTTTGGATCTTTCATCCTTTCACTCCTCGAACGTTGGCAGCTTCCGGACCTCATCGAGCGGCCTCGGGTTGAAGAGCGGCCTCGATGTCCGGACTGATGGACACGGAAGGTGTCTCCGGTCAACCCAAATAGCAATGGCCTCCAACCTAGTAGCAGATCAATCTCTAGCATTCTCTTGCATTCTCCTCACCTGGTCGATCACGGATGTGTTCTGGGGCCTCTGTCTGCACGGAGTGTACGGATGCAGGTCCATTGCTCAGAGACCACTTCATCCAGTGGACGGCCGATCATTCTAGAGCTGTGACCCAGCTGCATTCCATCACCGAACTCACCGATTCGGTCAACCTTCCAGACAAGGGGTGGTTTTTGGTGCGCAAGTCTCCCATTTCGAGGCTCATGTTTTTCGGAACAGCCACATGCTAAATCATGTGGTGATGTGGTTTGCAGATGGGTTGCTTCACGTCTGAGTTCCTCATTGCTCGCCACAGAACACCCTTCCAACCTCCGACCTTGTTCGGGGGACCCCCCAGTGTTGGGGCGCCTGGACTGACCGGCCACCTCCTCCACTCGCACCTCCACTCGCCGGTCGAAGAGTCCGTGGCGGAGTCCGTTGGGGCGAACTGAACTGTGAGGACCCAGCTTGTGAGGATCCACAAGAGGGAAACATCACCATGGGGCTGAGAGGGATGAACCGACATGAAGGTGCCATCAGAATCCTTTTGTAGGAGCTCTTGATTCTTATCTCCAACCTTGGAAGGGGGTAGACCGGTAGACCGCTTAGCCTAGCTTTATTAGATGCGCCAAGCGACTCAGATGCGCCAAGCTCGGATGTTCCGCAAGCGACTCCAAGCCACTTCTTAGAGACACTGGGATGCACCCAGCTACACTCCCTGGAAGAATCATAGAAGCGGAACAGGGCCCCTTGGATGATGATTTTCCGAATGCCAAACAGGTGGTGAACTCCACGTAACGATGATGATTTTTCGGCAGATCCACCTTCCAAAAAGCCAATCCTTTCTCCCCCCCAAAAAGGCAAACACACGCCGCGGGCTGGGGGAGTGGGCTGGTGCAGCCAAGGTGAATTTCCGGAAGATCATCCTGCGCATGGAAATGAAAGTGGTGGTGGCCACCAAGCACTTGGCGCCTGGACCGGACTGGAGTTTATATTTTTGTTATATTTTTTTCGGGACTGGTGACTGGGACGACCGGAGAAACGACTGGGACGAGCGTGATGGGACATGAGTGGTTGGATGAGTGAAAACAGGGTTTAATGAGTGAGACTAGCTTTGCGTTCTTGTTTGGATCAAGGTGGATCATTTTGAGGTATGTTGAGGTTGTGGTGGAGAAGTGGCTACGGCTAGATGGTTGCCTTCCATCTTGACTTGAACGTGGGGGCATGGGCCATGCGAGGAGATGGAGCTAGGTGTGAAAAGAAGATGTGCAACTTGTTACTCAAGTTTGTTCGAGATTTTACAGTCGCTGATGATGCAAGTGGCGCTGAAGGGGGGTCTTTGTACACTAAGTAGTTTTCCACGCAACAACCGATAAAGCCCAGACACACGGGCAATAAAGCTGTCCTTTTCCATCCAACGCTTGCCAATCAACCACATCAAAAAGGGGTTTTCGCATCTCCCTAAGCAAAGATGATCAACCTAAGGACTTGGGCTACGATTGGACGCTGCGCAAGGGTTCCTTTGGCGCTGAGACGCGGAAGATGGCGCAGCAGCTGGGGGCCACCGAGGAGCCGCCCTTCGATGGCTTCATGCACATGAAGCGAGGAGAGCTGGGTCTGGATGTGGGTATGCGGGGAGGTCTGGTCCTCGGGTCCTGCTGGGCCGGTCCCTGGTGGGTCCTATGCTGTGGAAATACTATTGCGTGGGGTGGGAGGTTTTGGGCAGCTACCAGCTACTACCCTAAGAATCCTTGGGCTCTCCATGGCAGGGGTCGGACCCTCCATAGCAGGGGTCCGGGCCCTCAAAACCCTATCTGTTTGAGGGTCAGAAAAATCACCCCCATTCCATCTTGAAGCCTCACCCCCCGTCTCCAACGTACATGTCCGCACAAGTGCCCGACCTCCCCACATGTGCGCGTCGTACTCAGTACTCAGTATCTCTCTCAACCCCTGCGTGCAGGATGCACCTGTTGCGCACATACAGTACGCCATATGCAATCTATATGCAATCTATATCATCCCCGCCTCCCTTCCCTCGCACCTGCCTGCGCTTCCTGCCCGCCGCCCCATGGGTTCGCGCTCCCCCCCTCAAACATTTCTCCCCCCCCAACCGTTTCTCACCCCCCGACTCCGCTTCCGCCCGTGCTTGCGCTCGCTCCTGTGCAACCGCGCGCCAACCGCGCGGCAACCCCTCGCCCGTCGGCCAGGCTTGCTCTTCGTGGGTTTGCCCTTGCGGCTCTACCTGGCCGACTCGCCCCACCTGTACGAGCTGGTGCGGCGCCTGCGGCGCCTCGAGCAGTTGGAGAAACCCGTGGAGGTGGATCAAACCAAACCGAGCCAGCGGCCGTGGTGTGTGTTTGTGTGTTTGTGGCAATGGACAGTAGTATTTGATGTGCCAAATTCTCCAGAATTTGCTGGGGTTGAGTTATATTGAGTGATTCTAATTTTTGTAGATAGTATCGGATTGCCAGCAACTCAGCAACATGAAATATTGGGTGTATATACATGTTGATAATTTTTTTGTTTTTATAAGTAGATGTGATGCTCGAAAAGCGTTACCAGCATTATCTTTTTTAACAAGTATGGTTTCACAACACCTGCGAACGCGCCATCAACACGCTGCCTTGCGATCGTCCGTTCGAGGGCCTTGATCGCCTGCGATGGACTTGGATCGGGGTCGGCAGGCCGAGAGCATCCGGGCAGTCTTGGATGCGGAGGAGCGCTTTGGCGCCGGAGTCTCCTGGCGTTTCCTGGCGCCGGGTCACGCGGTCAAGGTGTTGAGGAAACAATTGAGATGACACTTGTTAGAGGTTGTGAAAATGGAAACCGAACCGACAGGAATCGCCTGGAGAAAGGAATACCTGGATCTGACGTGTCTATGTCAAGATTCTGCCTAACTAGGCTGTTATCTATGTATATATATATATATGCAAGGATTGAAACTTTGTTACAGTCAGGTGAGAGCCAGGTACAACTGAGCTCCTTCAGATTTTTGCTGATAAAATCACGGTTAGAGTAGGTGACAAGATCGGTGATCAGCTTCTTGAAGTGGCTCCATGTGTGTCTGGGAGAAATTCCATGTGTGTGGGGTGGCAAGAAATGGCATGAGACCGTAGACTGTTGACAGATGATTTGTTTTTTGATTATATAACATCCCTTCATACATCAACAGTCTACAAAAGTCAAAGATAATCAGGAAGACAACTTCACTGCAGCATTAAGAGAATAAATTCACATCAGCTTTGTCACCGATGATAAAGACAATCTAGTTGTGCCCTCCAAGTCGCACACCGCGCAGGACTTGCCCTACTCGGTGTTGGTCTATGCCATGTTGGCCGCCTTACAAGCCCTGCATGCAGCCAGGCTGACTGGAAAACGTGCTGGCACAGGCCGGGTCTAGCAGCTGCGAGTGAGAGATGATCGAGTCGAGTCCTTGTTCGCCAAGAAGATGTGGATCATGATGCCTGTGCTTGGCATCAACAGCTTGAGACATAACCTGCGTGGCCTTCTTTGGAGGCCAACTCTTCCAGGCCTCTCTGCTGACCAGTCCATGACCCTCCAAACCACGAGTCCTTGGTCGGACAAATGGTCGAAACCGTCAATCTTCAGCACGGAATCGTCTGTGTGCACCGGTGTATTTCTGGGTGAGTCTTGAACGCCAACTTGTGGTCTCGCGAGACCCGGTCCCTCCTGGAAGAAGGAGAGCCCTTGGCTTTCACAAAACACCCCTTGTCTCAGGGAGTCGCCCAAAAGTCGCTCAAAACCGACTGACTCAATTTGACCTCTGCCATCTTCTTTGGATGTGAAAACGCCTTGAACACCTGGCCTTGAACGTCAGCTAGCTGTCACCCCAAGTGAGTGGAATCGGTCCTCCGATCGACCGGGTGAGGTGAGGAAGGCGCACTAGGGAAACGCACTCCATGAGGTTCACAGACGTGTGAAGCAAGCTGTTTCTATGTCTTCCTCCCCTCAAAACAGGGTGTCTTTGAAAGAACACTCAGTCAGTGAGAAAGCCTCCCCCATTGCGGGGTCCTTGCTGGCTTATCTGTACCCCCCAATACGCCATTTACCGATCCTTCAAGATCGAAGAAGCCCAACCCCATGTGCTGGGCACTCCGACTCTACATGCCGCAATGCTTGGGCCGTCTGCGGCCATGTCTCCCTGCCGCCGCGAGTGTCCTCACCAGCTCGGCTAGCTCGGCTAGCTCAGCTAGCTCGGCCAGGCGCTCAAGGCCTGGATGCCTTTTGCGCCACCGCGCGCCGCAGCGATGGTCTCGAGATCTTTGAGGTCAAGGAACGATGGGTAGAGACTGGGTAGTGGGTGTGAAGGCTTGGAGGTGTGAACGGTTGTAGCAGATGTTTGAAAGCTCAAGACAGGTCGAACGAATTGATGCGTGAATAGTCAAGAAAGCTCCAGAAGGTTGATGGTGCATTTGGAATAGTGAAAGATTCAACCGTCTGGTGAGTTGATGGTGAGGATGAGAAGTGTGAGATTCCGTCAGGCACGTGCCTTTTTCGGATGATGAAGATTCCATGTCCCCTTCTCCACCGGATTCGGCCGCGCCCGGCCACCCCGCGCAGGAGGTGGACGAGCATTCCCCGCTGATCTTCCGAGGCATCTGGGTGCCCAAACGCATCGATGAACACAAGGCGCGGGACCATGTCCTTCATGCGAGACGACCGTCCAAAAGACATGTCATGGGCTTAAGTGCGTTTTTCCCCGAAAAAACCCAAGGTCCTTTTTGTTGAGCTCCAAAAACTGTTACGTATTTCTTTTTTTGGGGGGAACAAGTCCAAAGACAGCAACTTCTCGGCAGGGCCCTTATTGGTTTGGAAGGTATGAAGATGCTCATCGAATCGTGTCCTATCGTTTTTGTATTGTGCCTACTGTGTTGTGTGCCATGGTGAAGATCAGACCCACCAACCAGTGGTCCTTCACTTGGTCAACATCGTCCTGATGGTCAACATCAAGTGGGTAAGCTTGTGGATGCTCTGTTTGGTGCGTATTCTGGCATAGGACTAGGAACACTCCTCACTTCTTCAAGGAGAACCTCCAACTTGGAGTCATTCATAACTTCATGAGCAGATTTATCATTGTGACAGTGACTTAGTGGGATAGTTCATGTGTCTCGGAAGTTCTCGGCGGATGCAGCAAAATAGAGAACTCGATCTGAAATGGAGAAACTGCAGCAGCTGGGATTCATGAACATGAAACTGCAGCACCAGGTTTTCTTGCCTTCTCATCTTTTGTCTCAACCCTCTCTACTCCGGTCTGGTCTGGTCTGGTCGCCCTACCGGTCTGGTCCGGATGTTCCGATGCCACGGCGGCGCGCCGCTTTGGAGCCGCGAGGCGTGCTACACCTGGAGCTTCAACTCCTTCTCCCGCAGCGTCGAAGGAGTCGCTCGGAGTTCGAAACGCCCGGAGTTCGCCGGCCGTGGCGATGGGTCGAGCGCGAAGCGGCTGCTGCTATTGGCAGTCAGTAGAGAGGGGTTCCTTCTGCGGGCCTGGGCTCGGAAGGATCTCGGATGCTTTTCTTGGGGGAAGAGATTGAACAGATCGAAAGGATGAAGCCGATTTGAAGGCAGGATGGATGGGACTTGGCACAAGAAGTTGGGTGCGTCATTTTCGAAGCTTCACTACCCTAGTGAAGCAAGCAAATTAACAAGTTGGGGATTTCAGGGTGAGGTGATGAGAGCTTGTAAACACCAATCTACAATCCCACGCTCTTTCCGCGCACACGGGAGGGATCCAGTTTTGGAAATCTGATGGTCACGTTGTTGCTAAGCACTTTCAGTGTCACTCCGCAGTTCTTTTGACCTTTGCCATCCAAGACTCCCAACCCTCGTGAGACGCAGTGAGACATGAGGCTAGAGAAATGATGTTGGGGAGTGCTTGTTAAAGACTGATGTGTCACATCTCCAGGTTGACCCAGCTGCGCTGTGCGGGCTGGTCCGGCTTGCAGCTTGCAGCTTCCCCACGCCTTCCGCCACCGAAAAGCCCCGCGACAGGTGCTGTGGGTCTTGGATTTCTATGCGGTGGAGGCCACCGGCAACACCTCCGTTTCGCAACTGGCCTGGGGAGAGCCGCTTGGTCCACCCGCGGTGCGCGCGTCGGGAGGGCAAACGGCTTCCAGAACCGTGCTACGTTGTGAAGGAACAGATGTAAGTACTTCTCACGTGCTACGTTGGCGCAGGCTATGTGATCCTGACTTGTAGCCAAGTCTGGGCTGCGCAGCGAAAATTCTGATGGTCCACTCTGACAGGTCACATCGTGGATGGCATGGACCATTGGGAAGGTGATGTTCCTCTACAAGCAAAACAAGTTTTCACTCCACTTCTATGAGATGTGACACGTTAGGGGGGCCGTGAAGTGGTTGCCCCTGAGATGTGGTGGGTCATTTTTCTTCATCCGATCCACCAGGGGAACGAACGAAGAACCGAATGTGCGACCTACAGGAGGTTAACCTACTGGAGTGCGCCACACCCTCCTGGTTTTGACCCACAACCACGTGATTACAAGGTGCAATTTGATGTATATTGGTGATGGTGGCATGATCAACAAAACTGAGTGCAAACGCTACTGACTTTGTTGGAACACAATGGAACACATATTATCGATTCGTTCACTTTTGGTAATCTCCTCAATGCCAAAGCTCAGAACATGTTGAAGGCAGATGAGACATATAGCATGCCGATGATGTCAACCCATGCATTCCTGGCAACATTGATTGTCAGATACTGTCAAGATTCAATGTTTCAATCTTGACATGCGGCGTTAGGTATGTCCTTTTCTTTTGGCCTCGGAGCCGTGAAACCCCGACCTCTCCGTCCGACCTCCGACCGCTGACCGCTCAGCTCCCACGTGCTGCTCTACGTGGCGCGCTTCGCTGCGGCCTCCAGCCGCTGGGCCTTCCCGGTGCAGTTCTTCAACTCGGGCATGGCTGCGGACATCGAGAAGGCGCCGAGATACCCCCGCCGTCGCGCGGAGGTTTCAGGTGGCTGGCGCGGTTTGGCGTCCGGTGCACATGGCACGTGGCACGGGGATGAGGGGAGTGGTGCGGGGGGAGGGGATTGACGAAGGCTGAAGGCTGAAGAGGAGAGCTGATGGGGATTCATCTACAGGCATCAAGTGCAAGGCACCGTGAGGACCCCAAGATAGAAGACCGTGTGTTTGTTTTCATCCACGGGTCGATTGTTGGGTTGTGCTGTCCATCCATCCAGCCCGATGGCCCCAGGAACTGGTGGTGCTTCCCTTCGTCGAATATGAATTCGAGCCTCCCGGCTAAGCACTCCGGACCGAGGCTGAAGCGAAGCACTAGGTCAGGGCCCACCAGTGGGGTGGTGGCCGGTATTTTCAGTTGCGGGTCATTGGCACCTGGAGTGCCAGGTTGACCTCCTGGCTGATTTTTGAGTGGGAAAGTTAGGGTCCCCCGAAACCATGGCTGCCATGAATCACCGCCTGGTGAGGGGGATCAGGTGACACTGCCGGTGACTGGTGCGCTAAGGATTCTAAGGGATGAGCTAAGGCGGTCAAAAGGGATGAAGGGAAGGTCAGCCAGAGGTGGTCAAAAGACAGGTTCTGAACCAAAACGTTCCGTGGACTTGCCACAGATCGTTGTGAAGCCCCACAGGTGGCCAACGAAGTGCATTATTTTTGGAATCGATCCCCTGGGCTAACATTGGCAACCTTCAAGAGAACGTTGCTTCCAATTGGAAGAAAACACGCACACACACACATATTATATTACAAACACCTCCTATGCTTCTGCTTAGATCCACTTTCTCCAAGCTCTTTCCCACCACGCACCTTCACCGTCAATGCTCATGTGTTGGCCCTTTTTGGTCAAACAAGGCTTAAGAGCTTCAAACGGGTTTTGGACCGCCGGGGGAGCGGAGGGTGTTTGCGGAGCGGTGCTGAGGTTCTTGCAAGGCTGCATGTGGGAGGTTCGGAGTTCCATGCCTCTCATCTGAACACCGCTCCGGCGAGTGCACCGCGCGCGGCGCGCGCGCCGCTCTTTCGTTCTGCGAATTTTTCTGCACCCGGGGGGGTCCGGGGTAGAGCGGTGGAGAATGGTGGTTTTGGGGTGTTTGGGGATCCAAGTGCACCAACCTGATGGGGTTCTTTCAGATCGTTCAAGGTAAGCCTCTTTTTGGCTGCCGTCGTTCTTCTCTCCACCGAACTGCCCTCTCGCGGGTCGTGGTTCGTGGCGTTCGTGGAGTTCGTGGGCATTGGCCGGCTCTTGGCATGACTCCTTGACCGGAACAAGAAGGCGGAGCGATGGGTCTCCAGCCTCTTAGGCGTTCAGACAACCCACACATCGGTTTTTCTGTGTCAGGTGTTCAGTGTCAGCCACCCTTCCCCCCGCCTTCTGAGACCATTGACCCAAATGCTTGACCTGGTTTTGCCGTGTGATTTTTCCTTCGCCAAAAAGACACCCATGGTGGATTGGGTGTCCTTCCAACCGATTCCAACCCTTCAATCCATCAGGGGGTGTGGTCCCCTGATACTGCACATCTTTCATTCCTTTTGGGGCTCCCCCTCCCACCCGTTTGGTGTTTCCGCTCCGTTCGCCCGTGATCGACCTCCGAACGACAGGTCCAGGAGTCCAGTCCTCCCCGCGCGCTGCAAGGTCCGAAGCGGTGAAGTGGTGCTGCTTGCGGCAGATCGAGCAACGCTGGAAGATCTCCTTTGCCAAGGAGACCGGAGCAACGTGGGCGCGAGCGCGAACTGGGGACAAACGCGTGGCGCGTGCGTGGCGAACTTGGGGCGTGTTGTTGATTGATTGACCGGCGACCTTCGAAAGCGATGGAGGGGCGCGATTTTTTTTGCTGGTAATGATGTGGTGTTGAGAATGTTTATTGTTATAATGGGTCTTTCATGGTCTTTCTAGAAGTCTTGCTACTGATCTTTCTTCTTAAGACTCCCCAAACTCGGACACTCGTGGTTTCTGGTGCGTTTCAATTAGAAACTACCTCTATTGAATTTGTTTTCAATCAAAGGACCAGGTTTCTGGAGAAGTTTCTGTTTCTTTCGGGGCTTTTTACCAACTCGAAAGAGTCCGAAGAGGGCGGCCTTTCGAAACATATAAGGATGCTCCTCCCTGGGTTCCTTTAGCCTGTAAAAGATGTTTTGGGGGCTAGGCTATCCATAGATTTGGTCATTTGACACATGTTGTAACTACTGTATATATACAATAACATACTGTACATTTTGTAGTAAATGCATTCTCCTGTTGCTATGTTGCTATGTTGATTTTGTTATTCATGATTTTCCACTCACCGCGTATCCATGTTAATCCATTCTTACTACTCACCGTGCCGTCTCTCTCGCAGGATGCCCCACAACTGCTGGAGCTCCTCGAGGGGCGAGGAGCGACGGAGGGGGTCGTGGGTGGGCAGGGGTCGTGCTCTCCATTCTTCTGGCAAGGTCAAGAAGAAGTCCATGTTAGGGAAATCCAGTTCTTTTTTGTTTGGAGGTCCCCAGTTTCCGGCCAGAATTGACGAGCACGGACTTTGCTGAAGGTGAGCGAAGGTTGTTTGATCCATTGCACTGAACATGGTTGGAGAATGATAAGCTGGTTTTTGCTTAAGGTGATGTGTCATTTTTCCAATGGGTAACGAAGTGGGCAATATCTTTTTCCTAGAGCAGCAAACCCGAAGGTTCGGAGCGGCCTCCAGCAATCATCTAGTCATCAGATGTTGAAAGGTTTGACTTGCATTCGCCCCGTCACAGTAGATGCCCAAAGAAAGGGTTGATGATTCGACCTAGAGTTTGATGCATTTGGTAGCTCGTCCAATCGTTTCAACCGGTCCGGTTGTTTGGGGATCTATTCGCCCAAATCCCTCGGATCCATTCGAGAACTCATGGGGAGAGGACCTCACGCCATCCTCACGCCATTGGACCTCCAGTCCACCAGATGCGGATCGAACTCATGCCATTCGGACGAGCTCACGCCATCGGACGAACCACTGGGACCAGAGACAACGAGACACCGTGCTGTTTCGTGGAAGAACGAGTTGGTCGCACGAGGTGGCACGAGGTGGTTGATATTGATCGAGGTGGGGTGATGGGGTTTTGTTGGTGCTCTAGAATGATTGAAGAAAGGTGACCTCCAGCAGTTTGTGACCTAAGGACTAGATCCAAGATTGAGGATGGCCCGACCTCCAGCAGTTGATGACCCTTTAAGCCTCGAAGCACTATAGATCCGACAGGGTTCGCTCAAGCCACTGGTTTTCCGCTTGCAGCAAGCCATGAATCCAATGCTTTTCCGCTGATGGGGTCTGACCGGGCCAGGATGCAAGGCTTATCCTGGCCTGAATCGTCAAGTGAAGGTGACCGTTCGCTCCTCGGCCCTGTGCGGAGTGGGCGACTGGCGACACTGGCGGGCGACACGACGGCGACGGGCGGAGTTGGCGACGTCCGATCGCGGACGGTTCGTAGCGATGCCAGTTTCGGCCCCGTTCGTAGCGTCCGATCGCTCCTCAGATGGAGAGAGCTATTGGGGATCTTGCTTCAAGTATGGGAAGAGGTGCTTGTGCTATCTTGTGCTTGTGTGTTCTTTTTTAGCCTGAGTGCAGGTGCCGCTGCAGTGTGCTGTTGCCCACACTATCTTATCCCTAGCCGTCCAAGATCATTAGAATAATTGTTGACCTGGTTTTGTAGTGTAAAATCCTTAGAAAAACAATGGTGGTTCGGTAAAGACTCTGCAATCAATGGTGGTTGGAAGCCTAAGGAGCTTGGCTCTCTGGGTTCTATGCTGGCGTAGGTTGAACGAGGGCCGAAAACGTGGGGATGGGTCCACATCCAGGAGCCCCAACAGCTGTCAGCTTCTTCGTTCACCGGAGGAGGTGAGCGGACCAATGGCAACACATCCAAACCAACACCCAACACCTCCCAACAGCTCCCAACACCTCAAAAGCCACACACCCTTCAAGGCCAATGTGTTAACATCTAAGCCCTCAAGAAACCCCAGGACTGGAGGCCAAACCGCAGGTTCTCTGCCCTTCGTCACGAACCGTCCACTCTCCAGCGCCGGAGGGTCGGACCGAAACCGCGAAGTCTGCGAAGTCCGCGAACGACGTCGCTCCGCCGAACCGCGAAGTCGTCTGCCAGGCTTCATCAAAGCCATCAAGCCGTGCAAACCCATCTTCGATCTCATGCGGCTCAGCGAGAGAAGCGGCGAGAGAAGCGACCGACACAGCGGGAGGTGGTGGAGAACTGGGGTGGGTCGCATGGCGCAAAGAGCCAAGTACCCGTTTTCTTGATGTGCAAGCCAGGCGGGTTGAAGCGGCTTTCGGGCTTTGGATTGAGATGTCAGAGACGCAAAGACCTTGAAGATGCAAAGACCTGTCCAAGGGCAGCATTTGGTCTGGTCTCGGGCCCTTTACTCCTTGGTCCAGATCTGGTTACATCAGCCCTTTCCATGCCCCTTATTCGTCCTGGGTGTGCCTCCAGGACGTTAGGGCCTTGTTTGAGGGACTCGTTGGATCATCTTGAAGCAATGACTTGATGTGTTTGGGGGGACCCTGTCAGCGGATGACCGGGTGCCCCGCGGTCGGGACCTTTTTTTGGGCCTTTGGAAGGGCGTTGAGCAACTGTAGCTGTAGCTGTAGCTTGAAGGAGGTCTGAACCTCAAACCAAGCTGCTTTTCGCGCGTTTTTTGGGATGTCGCATCTAATCCGTGGGAGCCAGGTCGCCCTGAGGGTGAGTAGGAGCATCTCTGAAGGGACCGTTTTCAGGCTTCCACCATAGTTCGTTTGACCAGTAAGGGAATATGTTATAGTGGTCTACAGACCAATACCTAAGATGCCTCATTCACTTTCTGAACCCCCGTGTGGGAGAAGGGGTTGGAAAATACCTCATCAACATACCGTCAAGACCGTCATCAGTTCATGAAGGTTTCCAAACCCTGCGTTGGAAATATCGGACACCTGTCCGGAGGGACAGCAGAAAAAACATTATTGAAGTATTACGTGGATGGCACAAGCAGTAGATAAACGACATTTCATAAAGTAAGTCGTGCATGCTTTTGCAAGACACATCGGAAGATTTTGCAAAAGACCGTGGTTGACAAAGGTATGGGTCATCGGAAGATTTGACACTGCAAACCACCGGCTCATCCAATGTATGTGGGGTCTTTGGTTTTTGAACCGTTTTGAGTCACCATTCTTCTATAAATGGGGGTGTATTTAAATAGGGAGACCCACTGGCCCAATAGGGAGACCCACTGGCCCCAATAGGGTTTGGTTTGTTTCTTTTCTTCCAGGGAGTCGAACTGGGAGGGAGACCCCTATGTCCTATGTTAGTACACACCCAAATCTTTGATCCCTGAACACCTGTTGTGAAATGAGGCGCATTGTAGACTCTTGCTAGAACGTTTCAACCAAGCCTCTTCAGAGGTTTTACCATCCATGTTTGTGGGGAGGTCTTGATTCATCAAGACTCTACATTAGCTGGAGATTCCACCACCAGAACCCTGTCCGGAGACTTGGCAACGCGGCAAGACCCCTCTGGAGATTCCACCAGACTCGCCCGGCCACGCCGCGGCTCTCGGGCGCGACCGAGCTCGAGCTCCGCCGACTGAGGGAAAAGGCACATCGTCCACCAGAGGAGCTGATGTTGGCCTTCCCGCCCAAGGACCCCGAGGCGCCCTCTGCTCCGCACGCCCGTCGGGGCGGAGGCCATGGAGAGGGAGGAGGAGGTGAGGAGGTTGTCACAGGGTTGGAGCCAAGGAAATGGTGAGCTCCAACGGTCAAAGAAGGGAGCTGGAGGGAAGACTTGACTTGGATGGTGATGAACATGAAGGTTCCTCAGAGCCTTAGGCGACCTGTAAGAAAAACCTTCCCACCCCGTAGGCGACCTGAGAGCCTTTGACCAACCAACCCTGAGAGCCGGACCTGACGAAGGCGGCGAAGGACGCGACGAGCATTTTCGGCGCGGGCTACGCAGCGTTGAACGGCATGGCCCGGGCAGCTCAGATGTCTTTCCGGTCGCGGAGAAGGGGGAGATGCGGGGTGGACTTGGACGGAAGGTTTCTTCGCGCGAGACGCATGAGGGTTAAATGGTTAAGAGCATACAGATGAGTGTGAGTTTGAGCATGTGCAAAGTCTTGTTGGACGCGTGAACTTAGGTTTTTTTGGATCAAGAGGGTGATGTCGTTCTGACTGACTGGCAGCCAAACAGTCTTTGGTTTTTTTGGATCTCTCCAATTTACTCATTCATTCACCTTGACTGCCAAGATCAATGGTCCTTTGCAGGTTTTTCATGAAGCCACAGGGGTGTGAGCCTAAACTTCACTCACCAAACCACGGAATCAACCACTACATAAAGATGATCCCTTGTGTCTGTCCCATTACCTGTAACCGTCAGTAAACACTTATCACTCTTTTTGAACAAGGCCTTTACTCACCATCTTCGTCGACGGAATTGCCATCGCCTTTCAAATGTGTATGCAAGAAAAGAACTCCCAATGCGCCCTCTGCATGGCAGCCCAGGATTTTTTTGTTGTCAGATCACCCGGACATTGTTACTCTGACAACTACAAGCTGATACACTGCGAATGGTCATTTGATATATTGAATTCTGCTTCAAACAATTCAGTCTTTTTGGTGACGTTTTGCCTGAACTCATGCATGTTTGGCCGTTTGGGCTTAACAGCTCTCACAGCTCATGGATCCCCAGTCGCGCACTTGCAACAAGTGCCGGTCTGGGGCCAGACAGCCAGGCGACAGCTGGTGTCTGGCGTGTTCGGCGCTCGAGTCGATCACCGCTGACTTGAAGCGAGGTTGGTCGAGCGCCGCCCTGAGGGTGATTGCCGAGGACGCTTGCGTCGCTGCGGCCCGGTCCGTGCGAGCCCTGAGGTTCGCTGGAACCCGCTTGGACGCGGAGGTCCCGGCTTCATCCCGAAGGCCGCCCGAGCCGGCAGAGGAGTCCGAGGTCGAGGAGTACGAGGTCGAGGACTACGAGCCCCCGAGTCGACGACCAGTTGATCCCATCATCGCGGCCAAGTCCAAAGGAAAGCGCCCGAGATCCCCTGAGAGACCTCAGCCTAAGACACCACCTCGTCCCCCGCCTGCTCACCGCCAACGAGAGAGGACGGAGAGAGTTGAGGAGGACAGGTACGAGGAGGAGCATCGTGAGAAGAAAAAGAAGCACCGAGGAGGCACAAAGCACCAGCAACATACTCGGAGGCACGACGACGGTCAGACCAGGACCACTCACCGTCCGTTGGGCCGCGAGTTCTACGAGCGCCAGGCCGCCCCGCGGCCGCTGGAGGATCCTTGAGAGAGTCCCCAAGGAGGGGACACTGGGTAGAAGGAGTCAGGATGGCGCCCAAACCCAGAGAGAGGCATATGTCAATGAAGTTCGACCTCACCTCACATCCCGAAGCCATCGATGCAGAGGAGTTCAACGATGGAGACATTCTCGAAGTGCTGGACTTAGAAGGCGTCGAAGGGCTTACATCTTCCAGAGGAGTTTTCTGGGTAGAGGCCGTCGAGTTGCGGGACGACTCTGGCATTACCCTATTGGTGGCGTGCTTGGGTGCAGACGATCAGGCGAGCACGGCACTTTTGGGAACTCTGTTCAACAGGAAGAAGGCGAGGCTGCACCTCTGCTCTTCAAGAGGAGGACCCCCCTCCTGCACTGTAGAGAAGATGGGTGCTCATGCTTCCAGCTTTTACAAATTCGCCAACGCCGACTACCCCCTCAAGTCGATCGACGCCAACATCGCCAAGGCTTTCAAGAGACGTCGACGCGAGGTGGATCGAAAGAAAGGGAAAGGAAGAAGAGAGGAGTCACCAGGAGGAGAGAGGGTGTCCCCAGAGGCTGGCGCCGGAGCGGCTGGGAGCGTACCGCTCCCGGGCCGCGAGGGCGTCTTGAGGAGACCCAAGAGAAGCAGAGAGGAGCGAGACGAGAGAGAGGCCGAGGAGGCCAGCTTGCGAGGAGTTTGGGTTCAAGACAAAGGGGCTTTGGACGAGGCAGAGGCAGAAGGCGACGAGGACTTGGAGACGCCGGGTCATCACCTCGTAGGAGACAAGGCGGCTGGAGGAGGGTCGAGGCCGGCCCTCAAAGAGGCTCTAGCCAAGCTAAAGACACGGCTTGGACATCCGCCCAGCCCCAAGGCCCGAGATGGAGCTGGAGCTGGTGGAGATCGATTCGATGTCTTCAAACCTGTGCGGGCGACACCGAAGAGGAGATTGGAGAAGGAGAGGAGTTCGACGGAAGCTTCATCCAAGGCGAAGGAACTCCTAGATCAGGGCGAGGATACAAGCGACACTACTATGAAGGTTTCGAAGAAGGAGAAGGAGGAGAAGAGAGACAAGCTACCCGGAGGAGTTTTGGGGGAGCTGGTTTCGAAAGCGACTATGAAGCCCAAGGTGAAGAAACCCAGCTCCAAGAACAGCAAGTCCAAGAAGACGGCTATGGCCTTGATGCAGACCTTGGCAAAGGGCCTTGGTTTGAAGACAATGAAGGGACTGACGGACAGCAAGGCGAAGGAGAGGAGGAAGAAGAAGCACGACCCGGACGATCCAGGGGGCTCAGACGGGAGTCATCACAGTGGGAGCTCGCCGATGGAGAGCTCCGAGAGTGGTTCAGAAGAAACCTCAGAGGACGAGAAAGAGAGGACGGAGATGGCAAAGGTGACGCCGCCCCTCGAGAGGATGAGCCAGAAGAAAGCCGGATCGGTGTTGAAACTATTCGTACAACATATGAAAGAATCGCTGCAGAATCTCGACGAAGGAGAGGCAGAGGAGTCCCGATCAGTTGTCGGAGGGGTTTCGGCGACAAAGTACTGGCACCTCATCGTCAAGCCCCAGTTGACAGGACGGTCGAAGGAAGCAAGAGAGATCTATTGCCTCCTCCAGGCGATAGATCAGTTGCGTGCGGGCCACCTCGATCACCTGGGAGACCTTCTTGCAGCCCGTGTCATGGCGATACACCAATCGGTGGCCGACGGAGGAAGCTGGAGGGCGGCGAAACACCTGGAGATCAAGCCACTCGAGACGGCATCGGCGTCCAGCACCAATATAGTGCTACAAGCGAGGAGATTTGCCAAGCTGTCAGACCGGGCGTTGGGAATTACCCCAAGACGCTGGCAACAGACTGGCAGAGGTGGAAAGCCGTGGTACGAGGAGGACGATGGACCCAGAGAAGCAAAAGGAAGAGGCAAAGGGAAGAAAGGCAGAGGCAAAGGAGGAAAGGACAAATCGCAGAGCAAAGATTGGAGGCAGAGTCAGGAGCCGCCACCAAACAAGGCGGACAGTTGAGTAAGAAGTGCTTGAGTGAAATCCTCAGGGAGGCCCACGATATGAACTCCCTTGGAAGAGGCCTTGCATGGGTCGTCTCAAGGATGTCGCAAACAGATGGTGATGAGTTGAGAGTTTGGCTTGGCCTTGAGGCCGTGGGACGCCGGGCGACGCGGAACCGTAAGCGTTCGTCGCGTTCGCTCATTCCTATCCCAGCAGGCTTCAGTGCTGGCTTGGTTGACCGTTTGAGGAGTCTGCCGAAGATTTTTTCCAGAGAGGCTGAGGAGAAGCAGCCTGTGCGCAGGGCACCTTTGATGCCCGTTGCGCCAAACAGGCCAAGTGGCGAAGAGCATGGTGTGGAGGACTGGCAACTGTGCATTGCTGCCGGCTGCAACTTGCTGGCGGGGTACAGAGCTTTGTTGCCACCGGGTGAGGCTACCGCTTTACAGCGAGCGGCTATGGACCAAGTGGGCTCCACGCTCGAGCGGAGCCTCGCCCCTCACCAGGACCTTCGTTGGCTTGAAAAAGATTGCGCGCAAGAGCTGAAGAGGACACATGTTAGTTACACAGGAGAAGAGGTAGAGGTTGCACAGGTGTTGACTTTGGAACAGATGGTACCTGCCCTCCCCCCAAAAGGTTTTGGAGGGAGTGTTAACTTGCTTGACTTTCTTTCCCCCGGGAGTAGTTCATGGCTGAGCGCGCCCATGCGGCTGCTCAGGGACCCAAAACTTTTTGAGGGTTTTAAGATTGAAGCAAAACTACACATGGCAGAGTGCGATAAGTTGGACATCGCCCAGACTTTAGTTGCTCGGGGAGTTTGTGAATGGATACCGGAAAGCGAGGTGTTCGAACACAAGGGCAAAAAATTGTACAACGGCTTGTTTGGAGTGAAGAAGGACTCCACCACATCTTCGGGTAAATCAGTTCTTAGGACAATTATGAATCTCACTCCCTGCAATAGGTTGTTCTATCCCTTGGAAGCCGGTCATGACGCTCTACCCGATATTCACACCTGGAGTTCGATTGTTATGTCAGGTTCCGAGGTTCTGGAGACTTCCCAATCCGACATGTCATCCGCCTTCTACCTCTTCCGTATACCGACCTGTTGGCAGAAGTTTCTCGCATTCCGGATTTTGGTCGATGGAGCCGCAGTTGGAAAGACCAAACAGACGCTACGCACTAAGCTGTGCGGTGCTACCGATGGGGTGGCACTCCAGCGTGTCCCTAATGCAAGAAGCTTCATCCCGTATTATGCGACAGTCGAACCTGTCGGGGGAACATCAGTTGACGAAGAACGTCATGACACCGCCGTGGATGGTAGGACTTTCTGGGGTGATTGAACCAGGCTTCCGAGACTGGTGGCAGGTATACCTGGACAACTTCGCCTCGGCTCAGCTCCGTGATGAATATGAATTGGCAGAGGCAGAGCGAGAACCTTGGCAACGCTGGCATTCAAAGGCGGAAACGGGTTGGGAGAGTGTTGGAATAATTTCCTCGGAAAAGAAGAGAGTGCGACAGGCAGAGGAGGCAACTGAATTAGGTGCATATATCGATGGAAGAAACAGGTTCGTGGGAGGTTCCCCGTTGCGGGTTTTGAAAACGGCAAAACTGATCTTGTTCCTCTTAGTACAGGAGTTCACTCTCAAAGACCTACAGACGGTTGTAGGGAGGATTATTTTCTTGATGTCCTTCAGAAGACCCGCTATGGCCGTGTTCACCCACGTTTGGACCTATATCTCCAGGCCTAGGTTGCGCAAGAGCCTCCTCCCTTCGGTTCGACGGGAATTATTTAATTCACTTCTTCTCCTCCCACTCCTAAAGCAAGACCTCACGGCAGAAGTTGCGGACATGATCACCTGCTCAGATGCGTCACAGAAAGGAGGCGCCTCTGCAGTGGGGACAGCGTTGACACAGGAAGGGATCAACTTCCTGGCCAGCACCACAGATCCAGTCCATGCGCCTCAACGCGAACCCATCCTGGTGATTTCCCTTTTTAATGGCATCGGCGGCGCTTTCCGAGCATACGATCTGCTCGGGATCGCTGTAGAGGGCGCTGTGTATTCAGAGATCAACAAGGCCGCGTGCCGGACAACAGATCGGCGCTGGCCACACGCGAGGAACCTAGGTGATATTCGAACCATAGATGAAGCCATGATCCGTACTCTTGCTATTAGGTATGCCACTTGCACACGCATAGATGTATGGTGTGGGTTTCCCTGCGTTGATCTCTCGGCGGTGAACTGTTTTCGGACTAACCTAAAGGGATCGCAATCCTCCTTGCTGTTTGAAGCGCTGCGGGTTACAGAGCTGGTCAAGAAGATCTTTCCTCCTTGTGTAATAATACACCATATCTTTGAGAACGTAAGTTCCATGGATGTGCAGGCCAGGCACGAAATCACACAGTTGGTAGGAAGCCGCCCGTGGAAGCTCGATCCGCGGGACGTCCTGCCCATCTCTCGGCCGAGGCTTGCTTGGACAAGCTTCCAGCCTCAAAACTTCGAGGGCATGAAATGCGAGGACAAGGGCGAGTTTGTAGAGATCTCCATGGAAGCGCCCGGACTTCAGCCCAGGCAGTGGCTAGAACCCGGCTGGCAGTGGGGAAACGGTGAAACTCAGCTACCCTTTCCTTGTTTTATGAAGGCAATTCCGCGAAGGGCACCTCCCCCTAGGCCAGTAGGCTTGGATCGGTGTTCCGACGGTGCTCGAGGTAGGTGGGAGGCTGACCGATATAGGTTCCCCCCATATCAATATAAGGACGAGCACATGTTATGGAAAGAGGGTCGGTGGAGGACTCTCACCGCAGCCGAAAGGGAGCTATTGATGGGATTCGGCTTCGAGCACACATCGTTGTGCTGGGGTGCAAATGCCGTGAAATCGGACCCGCAAGGCTTTGAAGATACCAGGAAATCCTTGATCGGGGATAGCTTCTGCATGCTCTCATTTGCTGCAGTGTTAGCTTCTTCCTTTAAATGGACACACGGTTCTTTCTCCATCGCTCACCTGGTGCAACGGTTGGGTCTCGCACCAGGCTATTGTACCGGGTGGGCTGCGTCGGCGCCGGTTGTGCAACACCTTAACTTCGGTCAAACGGTGGGTGCTTCGACTCTTTGCCGTTCGGTTCGGGATTTGAACAAGGTGTTCTTGCAACGAACCAATCATACGGGAGGAGATGTCCGGCTGGTCACCGGGCACATCATGGGCAAACACCAGACTCGACAGTCGGTGCCGAGCTCCCTGTGGAGCTGGCGTTTTCTGTTTCAAAACAAGTGGCAGCTTCAGGAGCACATAAACGCCTTAGAGATGCGGCAGGCTCTCAACACCCTTAATTGGGTGTTGCGAGATCGTCAGCACTTTAACCTGAGATGGGTCCACTGTTCCGATTCGTTTGTTACGATTTCGATCCTCTGTAAGGGGCGTACCTCGTCTCGGCAACTGGAAGGGTTGGTACGGAGGTTCAATTCCCATCTCCTTTTGGCTCAAGTCTACCCGATCCTTCTTCACGTGGCATCTCTTGACAATCCCACGGATGAAGGGTCCCGCCATTTCTCAGATGCAACGCTGGCGCGCTGAACGCAAGCGTCGCCGTGCGGGCATCAGTCTCGAGGACGCTGCACTTACTGAAAAAACCAGAGTCAGATACTATGCCGGACTTCGAAGAATCCAGAAGATCCTTGAGGGTGCCAATTCTTGGATCGATTTGGATGACCAATTGACTAATTGGATTACTCACCAATGGGAACAAGGCGAGCCGCTGGGTCACATTTCGGATGCCCTTTGCGGCCTTAGCCACTACATGCCTTCCGCCAAGCATCAGACTCCGGAGGCGTGGAGGCTGTTTAAAGTGTGGCGCAAAGTTGAACGACCTCAGCGAGCACCACCTTTTCCACCACTGGTCTTGTGGGGCCTCGTAGGGTTCTGTATCGCGCAGGCTCACTTCCGTCTTGCGGCTGTTTTAGCTTTGGGCTTTCACGCCTGCTTGCGCACTGGCGAGGTGCTCTCCGTTTGCCCCCACGACTTCCTCATTAAGCGCCAGCATGGCTTGCTCCGGTTGACCGACACCAAAAGTGCCAAGTCATCCGATGAGTTCATCCGTTTGGATGATTTTCGGGTTCTGATGATCCTCCGAACGGTCAAAGACCTCATTCCGGAGCGTCACTGGCACAAGCCAATTTGGGATCGTTCGCCCCAATTCTTTCGCTCTTCACTGGCAAAGGTTTTGGAACATTTTCAACTTCAATCCCACGGCTTCCGTGGGTACAGCCTTCGACGGGGTGGAGCCACTCACCATTTTGAAGTGGGTGCCAGTCTTGAAAAGACTCTCCTTTTCGGACGATGGCAATCCTCACGGGTCGCTAGGATTTACCTTTGCGACGGGGTAGCTCGTTTAGCACAGCTACGGCTGAGTGATACACAACAGTCGCGACTCTCTAAGTTTGCTTGCTTTAGGTTCTGAGTACTTTCCACCTTTTTTTCTTTCAGCCTCCGGCCAAGAGCTCTTACGAGCGGGGTCGTGGAAAGGGCGCAGAGCGCCGAACAGGAAAAGTTGAAAGGGTGCGA